CCGGGTAGGGGCGTCATGGAGTCATGCGGGGAAGGGGAAAGGCGGGAAAGATGAGGGAAGGGGAAAGGCGGGAAAGATGAGGGAAGGGGAATTCAAGAATCATTGTAGCCATAACCCAGAAAAGGGCCAACCCCGTTCAATCCCAGTCAGCCACAGTCAACCCCATTCAGCCCCATTCAACCTCAGACAACTGGCAGACGACAACATACAAACCCAGTCAAACCCAGTTAACTGCTATCAGCCCCAGTCAGCGCCAGTCAACGCCAGTCAACTACACTCACACTTTCTTGCCCTCCACGAGCATGCCGTTGACCTTCTCAATGGCCAGGTTGGCCGCCTCCTCCGTCTCGAAGTGCACGAAGCCGTACCCCTTGCTCTTGCCCTCGGGCGTCACGGCGATCTTGCACGACCAGATGGGGCCGAACGCGCTGAACGTGTCGTGCAGCGCCTTGTGGTCGATCGACTCGTCCAGGTTCTGAGGGGTGGGGAGAGGTGGTGGGGGAGAAGGAGGGGCGGAGAGGGAGGAAGCGGGGAAGGAGCGGGAGGAGACGTTGGTTTGGCCCCCATTCGCGCCTTCGATAGACCAGATGGGGCCGAACGCGCTGAACGTGTCGCGCAGCGCCTTGTGGTCGATCGACTCGTCCAGGTTCTGACGGAGAGTGGGGAGCGCAGGGGGAAGAAACAGGAGGTCGAGAGGAGGGGGGGGGGGGGGGCGCAGGGGAAGAGAGAGGGGAGGGGAAAAAAACACAGGGAGGAAGCGGGGAGGGAGCGGTGGGGGCAGGGTGGGGGCAGGGTGGGAGCGGGTACGGAGAGAGGGGAGCGGGCGGATAAGGGACAAAAGTGTCACCACTCGCACCAGCTGCGTTGATTGGAACCCATCCGCACCATGATAAGCCCGTTCCAGACGCCACTGCGGCGATAACTCAAGGGAGACTCAAGCCCATTGGCGAAACCCCAGGTCATTGACGAAAATGTTACCGAGTTTCTTTCGCGAAACCGTTTCGCACCTTGATGAAGATGTTCCCGACGCCGCTGCGGCGGTGACTGGGGTCGCGGTGGGACCACATGATGCGGATGGGCCGCCCGTTCACCTCGCGGTAGTTCAGCGCCTCCATTGCACGCTCCGCTGCGCGGGGAGAAAAGGGGGAGAGCGGGGGAGGGCGCGGAGAGAGGAAGAGGTGGGAGGGGAAGTGTTGAGAGAAGGGGAAGGGGAACATTGGACACGAGAAGCACCAATCCTTCATCGCGGTAAATGAGTGCGCTCATGGCGCAACGCTGGCCGTCTAAAACGCAAGGCCTATGACCGTCGATAGCGCACTTAGCCGCGGAGGGAGTAGTGAAAGGTAATCGGGGACCGATGGGACGAAATAGGCGAATGGAGGGTGAAGCGAAAGATAGACTGAAAGCCGGAAAGTAGTAGTGCCTTTTGCGAATTTTCAAAGGCTTATGAAGGTTGAATTCCCAAAATAGACTGAAAGCCGGAAAGTAAAAGTAGTGTTTTTTGCAAATTCTCTAAAGCCCATGAAGGGTGAAATCCAAAAGCAGACTGAAAGCCTGGGGGAAGAAGTGGTGCCTTACCCGCATGCTCTGTTGTACGCAACGATCCACGGGAGCAACGAAGCGGCAATATCGGGGGCGAGTTTCACGCGGATATGCCAGGCCAGGCAGGACACGCAGGCGGGCGGGAGGGAGGGGGGGAGAAAAAAACGTAGGGTATGGGACAGGGTGGTGGCGCAGAGCGGAGACATTAGACGTGGAAGAGAAGGCGGACGCGAACGAGTAGGGTGAAGAATTTAACCTGCGAAGACATTGCAACGAGATCGCACGTCAGCCTGAACACGCTCGGCCGGAGATGGGCCATATCCTTCACATGGCTCAGATCACATATGTAATTTGCTGTTTCATGACTACTCTTGACGGTCGTGTAAAACGCAATTCTAATTTCGCGCTCCGAACGAAAGACGTTGACGAAAGACTATTAGATAAAACGTGATTGAGCTATTTGATCAGCCTGCGTAATCATGACCATCAGAACGAGGGGGAAGGAACTGACGGACAAGGGACGGTCAACTGACAGATAGAAAAGTAGCATAACCATCCATGTGCAGTACGAAATCATTCATAAGCTGATCAGGCGAATCCAGTAAGCTGATCTGAAGCTCCTTCAAACACCATCGGTGTGCAGTACGGCTTGCTATAGCTACCAGCAACGAGTCGCCGGAAACTTGTGCTGACGACAGAGTACTGCCGGCAGATCGTTATCTCGCGCTAGCATCTGCACATCGCCGGGAAAAGAAGACGCGTGCGCCTACTCGCATAAGCGTGCTATCAGGAAGTAAAGCTATGGAGAGAACCCTCACACGATTTTCTAATCAAACCGAAATGAACACGTGTACAATCGGTGAATGCGCCTGCAATCTACTCGAATAAGCGCGCTATCAACGAGAACCATTGAGGGAAGCGAGAAAGGGGTCTAACAGTCCACGGCACTGTTGTAAATGTCTTAGGCAATTTAAAAGCACTACGAAATGGAAGTCGGGAAAAGAAAGGACCAATTTTCCGGACAAAGGGAAAACGGGGATGATAGGAAGAGAACTGACCGTCGACGGCACTGTTGTAGTTGACGTAGGCGTAGCCGAGCGAGCGGCGCGTGACGGCGTCGCGGCAGACGCGGATGGACGCGACGGGGCCGACCTGGCTGAAGAGCTCGTACAGCTGCGCCTCCGTCACCTCCTTGTCCAGATCGCCCACGTAAAGCGACGCCGACGGCGCTGCGGCTCCCGCGGTAGCCATGACTTCTCTAGAGATTAAGAGGGTAAAGAGGTTGAGAACGGTTCGACGAGAGGGAGACTTCGGGGAACCTGACTGCTCCAGGTAATTAGTGCTGCGAAATTGTTATTTCAGAGGTGTTGGCTCCGATGGGACTGATGCTTGATGACCTGATCTGCTCCGGCACAGAGTCGATACTGAACTAGGGCTGGGGAGAATTAAGCCCTAACGTCCGATCTAAGATCGGAAACCAAAAACCGCTACTGGGACCTCGCGAGTTTCTGGCCTAATTTTCTGGTTTTCTATATTTTTTTGTGGTTTTCTAGGTAGAACGAGGGACCTCGATGCGACTCTTTTTTTTTTTTGGCTTTTCTAGTTTAAATCCCCGAGGGGAAGGGGAGAAGAGAGTCAGAGACTCATAGGAGGCAACAGAAGCAACCTGCAGGCATAGCCCAGGCAGGATGACGTTCCTCGGTGAAGCTAGGGTTCTGGTCGGGGTTTCCAGAAGGAAGGGAGAAGAGAGTGATGAGAATGACCTCGGGACTATCTAAAGAGAGGGTGGAAAGGGAAGCGAAATTTTCCGTTTTGGGACTCTCCGTTACTGAGACACTATTCGTCGGACAAAGGCATTCCAGCAGTAGCGGATGCTGTGTGGTTATCGAGTGGACTTCTTCCGCGTCAGAATCTTCAATGATTCCGAGGTTGCTCACCCAGCCATGATTGGATGGTGGAGAAGACGAGAGCTGTATCTCCGTTTCAAACCTCTTCCCTACAGTCACTTCAAGAAGTTCGTTTCCAGCCCATATAACAATGTTCAGGCGTGTGAGCTGCTAGCTAGTAAATCAAAGAAAGCGCTCCAAAATGCACAGCATCGTACAAAAACGTTTTACAATCCCTGGATGTTTTACAGACGAATCCCAACACCTGATACCACTCTTCGCCTTCAAGTTTACCGTTGGTTTTTGGTCGTGTGTCGTCTGCTGCTGGTAGAAGTCAAATAGCGACGGTCCCGATGCTTCACATAGCCGCTAGAGCTTGTTCATGAGCGACCCTACAAAAGCCAAGAAAAAGTCGTCCTTATATCACCGTAGCAGGTCAAAATGCACCTCTTTTAGTAGCTCCTGACAAGTCAATTCTCGTCTGTTTAGCTTCAATAGAGCCATCTTACCATCGTCCGTGATCGACAGTGCTTGTCTGATCGCTTTCTACTCGACTCAGAGGTCGTCAATGTTCAGAAACGCTGTTGATCAACTCCAAACGTTTTGTTGCTTCGACTCAAAAGCACTTCTGGTAGGAGTGTAGCCTCGTTGGTTCGTTACGAACAAGGCTCTATGGCTCGTTAGGCCCGGTTCTCCACGGACGCTGCCTGTGAATGGATTATGATTTCCTGAATGAGCGAGAACTAGTACCGGCTTGCAATGAACAAGGCTTTCCTTCTTGCGCTTGCTCGGATTCACCGCGAGCGCTGGCTGTGAACGACTAGCTCCTGAGTCAGTGATAGCGAGTCCCCTCTTGCAATGAACAAGGCTTTCCTTGCGCTTGCTGCTCGGATTCACCGCGAGCGCTGGCTGTGAACGAGTATCTCCTGAGTCAGTGATAGCAAGTCCCCTCTCGCAATGAACAAGGCTTTCCTTATCGCGCTCGCTCGGATTCTCCACGGCGGCTCGCTTCCCCTGCACAACGCCGCGCGCAAGCGGAAGACGAAGCTTCCTGGACGTTGCTTCTCTCCAATCCGCGTGCTGCAGCTGCTCCTGGTGCTGACGGTTGTCAGCGTGGCTCTACTGCTGCGCTCGGTTCAGCTGCAGCAGAAGAACGCAGAGGAGGTGAGGAGAGTGATAGGAATCTCAAAATGACTCCACTCGGACGTCTGGAGCGTGAGGGAAACGGAGAGAGTGGGGGAGTGGGGAGCATGGGGAGAATGGGAGAGTGGGGAGAGTGAAGAGCGTAGTTTGATAACCGTGCCACTTACGGTTTTCAGCGTGGCTCTGCTGCTACGATCGGTTCAGCTGCAGCAGAAGAACGCAGAGGAGGTGAGGAGAGCCAGCATTTGGCATTTGAGAAACGACCTTCCGGTACAGTTCCGTTCCCCTCCTCATACTTCCCCTCACCCATAACCCCCGTCTGCCTCCCCTCTTGATTCTTCCACACGCACTACCCTCTGTCGCTTCCCTCTGCTCCTCCTCTCCCCCCCTTTTCTTGCCCAGGCGGCCCCAAGGGGTTCATCTGGTACAATGGTTAAGTCTTTCAATGCAGCACCACCCTTTTTCAACCCCCCTTTCTTTCTCCCCACTTCACCCAGGCCGGCCCCAAGGGGTTCATCCGCTATAGTGCTTACCGCCTGGGCGGCAGCTCCTTCGCTGTGATTGGTCTGGGGGCGCTGCGCCTCCGCGCTCGCATTCGCTTCCCCAGGTGCTCGTGGCATGACAACGGGGCTGCCCCTGGGGATGCTGGCATTCCGGGAAACGTGGAGGTGTTTTATCCGGGGGAGCATCATGACTTGGAGTATGAAACGGTCGTGCTCAAGTGCTTTCTGAGAGCTGACACCCATGCTACGCAAGGGGGCAAACTGCTGCTCCAGGTGAGCTCGGTTGGGCATGGTTGAGCTGGGTTCAGATGGTTCAGGGAGCGTGGAGATGTTTTGCCCAGGGGAGTATCATGACTTGGAGTATGAAACGGTGGTGCTTGAATGCGTCTTGAGGGCTGACACTCATGCCTCGCAAGGGTGCAAGCTGCTGCTGCAGGTGGGTTGGGCTGGATTGGGATGGGTTAGGTTGGGCCAACAAACTGCCAATTTTCCTGGAGCCCCATTTCCCCTTAGAAGCATATCGGTGCCACTCGCCACAGCTTCTCCTCTCCCCTGCCCTGCCCTGTAATCACACCATCACACCAGGTGCAAGTGCAAGCCACATATGGGTCGCGGGTCATATCAGTCAACTCACAGCAGCTAGTCGCCTAAGCTTCTTCCCTCTCCTTCCCTGCCCTCCCTTGCATTAACACCACACCACACCACACCACACCACACCAGGTGCAAGTGCAAGCCACCCACGGGTCGCGGGTCCTATCAGTCAACACACAGCAGCTAATCGCCTACCATGAGCCGCCCAACGCCTTCCCTGTCTCCCTGGAGCCGCATCCCCCTTATAAGCACCGCGTGGCGTTCTGCTCCCCGCCAGTGCACTCGGAACTGGACGGGAGGAGGCTGTACGAGTGGTTGGAGTATCATTACCATCTGGGCGTGGATTACTCGATCATGTATGATGCAGGGGGCATTGACGATGAAGTTACCCAAGTGAGTGCTCTGCCTCATCACATAGGAGCAGTTTGGCATGGGAATATGGCAGTGGTAGGAGGAGGCTGTACGAGTGGTTGGAGTATCATTACCATCTGGGAGTGGGCTACTCGATCATGTATGATGCAGGGGGGATGGACGATGAAGTCACTCAGGTGCGCCAGGTGTCTGCTTGGGTGTGTATTTGGTTGTGACACGGTGGCATGTATGTATGGATGCAGGGCAGTCTGGCAGTGGTAAGAGTGGCTGGAGAGTATCATTACCATCTGGGCTTGGATTGCTCGATCATGTATGATGCAGGGGGGATCGATGACGAGGTCACTCAGGTGAGCCACATGTGTCCCTGGATGTATTCATGTGTGACATGGTGACATGGTGGCATGGTGGCATGGTGGCACGGCAGTTTGGCAGTGGTAAGACGAGGGGACTCGGAACTCACCACTGGACGGGAGGAGGTTGCACGAGTGGCTGGACTACCATTACCATCTGGGCGTGGATTACTCGATCATGTATGATGCAGAGGGGATCAACGACAAAGTCACTTGGGTGAGCCCATGGGGCCCCAGGTGGCATGTCAGGTGGCATGTCAGGTGGCATGGCAGTGGTAAGACGAGGTGACTCAGGTGTGTACCATCTTTCCGTGGGTGGGTGTGGTGTGGAGGTCAGAAGAACTCTTTTTGTCAATCTAGAAAAGGCACCTTGCCCTCTTCACTGTTCCCCTGGCAGGTGCTGATACCATACGAGCAGGAAGGCCTGCTGGAGGTCAGAGATATTGGGGACTTTCTGGAGTACGAAACGTGGCTCTATGCCCAGGTGCGTTCCCTGGAGTGTAGGGTTGGGTTGGGGTGAGGGTGAGGGTGAGGAGGAAGGTGAGGGTGAGTGGACTCATAACAAATGTGGAGGTCAGAGATATTGGGGATGTCCTGGAGTATGAAACGTGGCTCTATGCCCAGGTGCGTGTTGAAGGGGTGGTGGTGAGGGTGAGTTTGGGGATGTTGAATTGAAATCACTTTTGAGTATTCTCAAAAGGGGTGGTGGGGAGGGTGAGTTTGGGGATGTTGAATTGAAATCACTTTTGAGTATTCTCAAAAGGGGTGGTGGTGAGGGTGAGTTTGGGGATGTTGAATTGAAATCACTTTTGAGTATTCTCAAAAGGGGTGGTGGTGAGGGTGAGTTTGGGGATGTTGAATTGAAATCACTTTTGAGTATTCTCAAAAGGGGTGGTGGTGAGGGTGAGTTTGGGGGTGTTGAATTGAAATCATTTTTGAGTATTCTCAAAAGGGGTGGTGGTGAGGGTGAGTTTGGGGATGTTGAATTGAAATCACTTTTGAGTATTCTCAAAAGGGGTGGTGGTGAGGGTGAGTTTGGGGATGTTGAATTGAAATCACTTTTGAGTATTCTCAAAAGGGGTGGTGGTGAGGGTGAGTTTGGGGATGTTGAATTGAAATCACTTTTGAGTATTCTCAAAAGGGGTGGTGGGGAGGGTGAGTTTGGGGATGTTGAATTGAAATCACTTTTGAGTATTCTCAAAAGGGGTGGTGGTGAGGGTGAGTTTGGGGATGTTGAATTGAAATCACTTTTGAGTATTCTCAAAAGGGGTGGTGGTGAGGGTGAGTTTGGGGATGTTGAATTGAAATCACTTTTGAGTATTCTCAAAAGGGGTGGTGGTGAGGGTGAGTTTGGGGGTGTTGAATTGAAATCATTTTTGAGTATTCTCAAAAGGGGTGGTGGTGAGGGTGAGTTTGGGGATGTTGAATTGAAATCACTTTTGAGTATTCTCAAAAGGGGTGGTGGTGAGGGTGAGTTTGGGGATGTTGAATTGAAATCACTTTTGAGTATTCTCAAAAGGGGTGGTGGTGAGGGTGAGTTTGGGGATGTTGAATTGAAATCACTTTTGAGTATTCTCAAAAAGGGGTGGTGGTGAGGGTGAGTTTGGGGGTGTTGAATTGAAATCATTTTTGAGTATTCTCAAAAGGGGTGGTGGTGAGGGTGAGTTTGGGGATGTTGAATTGAAATCACTTTTGAGTATTCTCAAAAGGGGTGGTGGTGAGGGTGAGTTTGGGGGTGTTGAATTGAAATCACTTTTGAGAATACTCAAAAGGGGTGGTGGTGAGGGTGAGTTTGGGGATGTTGAATTGAAATCACTTTTGAGTATTCTCAAAAGGGGTGGTGGGGAGGGTGAGTTTGGGGATGTTGAATTGAAATCACTTTTGAGTATTCTCAAAAGGGGTGGTGGTGAGGGTGAGTTTGGGGATGTTGAATTGAAATCACTTTTGAGTATTCTCAAAAGGGGTGGTGGTGAGGGTGAGTTTGGGGATGTTGAATTGAAATCACTTTTGAGTATTCTCAAAAGGGGTGGTGGTGAGGGTGAGTTTGGGGGTGTTGAATTGAAATCATTTTTGAGTATTCTCAAAAGGGGTGGTGGTGAGGGTGAGTTTGGGGATGTTGAATTGAAATCACTTTTGAGTATTCTCAAAAGGGGTGGTGGTGAGGGTGAGTTTGGGGGTGTTGAATTGAAATCACTTTTGAGTATTCTCAAAAGGGGTGGTGGGGAGGGTGAGTTTGGGGATGTTGAATTGAAATCACTTTTGAGTATTCTCAAAAGGGGTGGTGGTGAGGGTGAGTTTGGGGATGTTGAATTGAAATCACTTTTGAGTATTCTCAAAAGGGGTGGTGGTGAGGGTGAGTTTGGGGATGTTGAATTGAAATCACTTTTGAGTATTCTCAAAAGGGGTGGTGGTGAGGGTGAGTTTGGGGGTGTTGAATTGAAATCATTTTTGAGTATTCTCAAAAGGGGTGGTGGTGAGGGTGAGTTTGGGGATGTTGAATTGAAATCACTTTTGAGTATTCTCAAAAGGGGTGGTGGTGAGGGTGAGTTTGGGGATGTTGAATTGAAATCACTTTTGAGTATTCTCAAAAGGGGTGGTGGTGAGGGTGAGTTTGGGGATGTTGAATTGAAATCACTTTTGAGTATTCTCAAAAGGGGTGGTGGTGAGGGTGAGTTTGGGGATGTTGAATTGAAATCACTTTTGAGTATTCTCAAAAAGGGGTGGTGGTGAGGGTGAGTTTGGGGGTGTTGAATTGAAATCATTTTTGAGTATTCTCAAAAGGGGTGGTGGTGAGGGTGAGTTTGGGGATGTTGAATTGAAATCACTTTTGAGTATTCTCAAAAGGGGTGGTGGTGAGGGTGAGTTTGGGGGTGTTGAATTGAAATCACTTTTGAGAATACTCAAAAGGGGTGGTGGTGAGGGTGAGTTTGGGGATGTTGAATTGAAATCACTTTTGAGTATTCTCAAAAGGGGTGGTGGGGAGGGTGAGTTTGGGGATGTTGAATTGAAATCACTTTTGAGTATTCTCAAAAGGGGTGGTGGTGAGGGTGAGTTTGGGGATGTTGAATTGAAATCACTTTTGAGTATTCTCAAAAGGGGTGGTGGTGAGGGTGAGTTTGGGGATGTTGAATTGAAATCACTTTTGAGTATTCTCAAAAGGGGTGGTGGTGAGGGTGAGTTTGGGGGTGTTGAATTGAAATCATTTTTGAGTATTCTCAAAAGGGGTGGTGGTGAGGGTGAGTTTGGGGATGTTGAATTGAAATCACTTTTGAGTATTCTCAAAAGGGGTGGTGGTGAGGGTGAGTTTGGGGGTGTTGAATTGAAATCACTTTTGAGTATTCTCAAAAGGGGTGGTGGTGAGGGTGAGTTTGGGGGTGTTGAATTGAAATCACTTTTGAGTATTCTCAAAAGGGGTGGTGGTGAGGGTGAGTTTGGGGATGTTGAATTGAAATCACTTTTGAGTATTCTCAAAAAGGGTGGTGGTGAGGGTGAGTTTGGGGATGTTGAATTGAAATCACTTTTGAGTATTCTCAAAAAGGGTGGTGGTGAGGGTGAGTTTGGGGATGAGGGTGGGGGTGGGGTTTCCGCCAAGTGAACACATGAGGAGCACTTGAGAGCTCATCAGCATGGGTGCGCTTCCATCTATCCGTCTTCCTCTCACATGCCACACAGGTGATGGTGGTGAACGACTGTGCATACAGCACGCGCTTCTCAGCCAAGTGGACTCTCTTCTTCGACCTTGACGAGTTCTTCAACGCCGATGACCCGCCCCCACCCCAGAAGGTATGTCCTCATGGCGTGACAAGCTCTCTTCCAGTGAGCGATGCTACTCTGCCGAATGGACTCTCTTCTTTCATCTCGATGACTTGGTTCTTCAGCGCTGACGACCCACCCCCGCCCCAGAAGGTAACTACTCTCGCAGCATGGCATGCCTAGAAAGCCCCAGCTTCCTGCCTTACCTGTAAGGCGGCCAGCCCCTCCCCCAGTGGGGCTGATGCTACTCAGCCGAATGGACTTTCTTCTTCGATCAAAAGGTGACTTTTGAGGCGCCTCAAAAGGTGACTTTTGAGGCGACTCAAAAGTCACCTCAGCCGAATGGACTTTTGTCTTTGATCCCGATGAATTCTTTAACGCTGATGACCCGCCCCCGCCACAGAAAGTACCCACCATGTCTATCGTTTTTCATGGTACGTTGCTGCCTGCCCCAAAAGGTACACCAGGAGTACTGGCACCGGCAGACTTCTGGGTGGCTTTTGAGTTGACTCAAAAGTCGCTGTTGAGGCGCCATAGAGTTGATGCCATGAAGCACTGTCGCCGGCAGCTGTAGCATGTCCAGTGAAGCGCAATACCCCTGCACGCACCACTGCACTCTGCTGCCCCGCCCCGCCCATACCCCCCGTCCCTTCTCCATATCACTCCCGTCCCGTCCTTCCTGCTTACTCCACCCAAGGCAGAAGGGAAGCTCGCTCACACCCATGTGCTGGCCTGGCCAGTGGCCACTCAGCTAGACGCTATGGCACACTGGCACCTGCAGCTGCCGTGGGTGGACAGGAGTGCTGGTGGTATCCACCCAATGCCCATACACACACCTCTTTACTCCTCTATCCCCCTCTTCCCGTTATCAGGTGGAAGGGAAGCTCACACGCATGTGCTGACCACTCAGCTAGACGCTATGGCACACTGGCACCAACAGCTGTGATGGTTGCACTGAAACTCAATGCCCATGCACGACAATGCCCATGCACGACAATGCCCTATGCCCATGCACGACAATGCCCTATGCCCTCCGTATCATACCCCAGGTTGAGGCCCACACCCAAGTGCTGGCCACACAGCTAGATGCAATGGAGCACCGACACTGGCAGCTGTCGCGGCTGCATGCATTGGTGGTGATTGCACCCTCGCAATACCCATGCACGCACCACCCGACTCCTCTATCCCCATTTTTCCCTTATCTAGGTTGAAGCTCACACCCACGTGTTAGCCACACAGCTAGACGCCATGGAGCAATGGCACCGGCAGCTGTGACTGCTGGACTGGAATGGTGGTGGTACCCTCCCAATGCCCATGCACACACCCCTTTGCTCCTCTACCCCCGCCGTCCCCTCAACTAGCTCACACCCACGTTTTAGCCATACAACTCGATGCCATGGCACCGGCAGCTACCGTGGCTGCAGTGACACACGATGCCCGTACAATCATGCTCTTGCTCCTGTGCCCCCTTCCATTCTATATCTCACCCCAGGTGGAGGCTCACACCCACGTGTTAGCCACACAGCTAGACGCCATGGAGCAGTGGCACCGGCAGCTGTCGCGGCTGCAGTGGAGCGGTGGTACCTACCCTCCCAATGCTCCCCCTCATACTCCCCCTTGCTCCCGTCACCCCGATTTCCCTTATCTAGGTTGAGGCACTCACTCACGTGCTGGCCACACAGCTAGACGCCATGGAGCACTGGCACCGGCAGCTGTGGTGTGGGCAGTGAAACCCAATGCACCCCCAACGCCGATGCCCAATCACTCCCCTGTGCCCTCCTTCTCGTACCCCAGGTGGAAGCTCACACCCATGTCTTGGCCACACAACTAGACGCTATGGAGCACTGGCACCGGCAGCTGTCCTGGGTCCTGTGCCCCGCCCAAATCCAACCCCCATTTGTTCCTCTGTTCCGCCGTGCTCTAGGTGGAAGCCCACACGCATGTCTTGGCCACGCAGCTAGACGCCATGGAGCAGTGGCACCGGCAGCTGTCGCGGCTGCAGTGGAGCGGTGGTACCTACCCTCCCAATGCTCCCCCTCATACTCCCCCTTGCTCCCGTTACCCCGGTTTCCCTTATCTAGGTTGAGGCACACACTCACGTGCTGGCCACGCAGCTAGACGCCATGGAGCACTGGCACCGGCAGCTGCAGAGGCTGCGAAAGCGGTTCGCTCGGGAGAGAAGGATGGAGCCAAAACGACAGAGGGAGATGGAGGAGGAAGAGGAGGAGAAGTGGAAGGATAAAGAAGGGGAGCGGAGGCATGGACGGGAAGGAAAAAGGGGAAAGGAAGTGGGGAGGGGTTGGGATGGGATGGATGCGAGGAGGTGGATTGATGGAGAGGGGGAGGATGAAGGGGACGAGGAAGTGGAGCTTGAAGGGGGGGAGGGAGGAGGAGGAGGATCAGGTGAAAACAATAGAGAAGCATTAGCAGGAGCAGCCAGAGCGGCAGCAGCAGTGGCGGAGGCAGCAGCAGGGCAAGGGCTGGCACACAGAACACGCATCTCCTTGGAGCAAAGGCGGGCAGCGGAGCAGGCTGAGGAGGCAAGCCTCAGAGCAAACGCCCAGAAAAACGGCACGAGAATCGGGAAAGAAACCGCAAAGGCGCGGCAGCAGCGCGTAGCGAGGCAAATGCGAGAGCAATACAGGAAGCTCCGTGCGCGGAGAAAAGAGGATGAGACGGAGGAGGAGAAGGAGAAGCTTCCTGGGGAGGAGGAGCAGCAGCGGCACCTGCAGCAGCAGGAGGCGGAGCAACAGAGTCAGATGGAGGTGATTCGCGCATACAGGGAGCATCTGAAGCGCACTGCAGGCGACCAGCGGCTCATTCCGTTGGTGCTCGAGTCGTATGACGGGGCCTCGTACCTGTCGCTTGGCACCCTGTGGTGGGACACCGAGAGGTGAGGCGCGCTCCTAGGATTGTGCTCTTGGGAAGGTTGTCTTTAGTCTTGTTGGAAACGCTGTATGCGTCCTCTCATGGCCCTTTCGTAGCTCCCCCGTGCCTCCTTTCGTATGTCGTGTGATTTGCCGTCGTACCTGTCTTTGGGCGCCCTGTGATGGGACGTCGAGATGTGAGCGGATTGTGGAGGAGTCGATGTAGGCCCCTTTGCATGCCTCTTTGCATGCCTCCTGTTATTCCTCTCGTGCTGGAGTCATATGATGGCGCGTCGTACCTGTCGCTGGGCACCCTGTGATGGGACGTCGAGACGTGAGTGAGCGGATTGTGGAGGAGTCGATGTAGGCCCCTTTGCATGCCCTTTTGCATGCCTATTTGCATGCCTCCTCGCATGCCTCCTCCCATGCCTCCTCGCATGCCCCTTCCCATGCGCACTCTCATGCCCCCCCCATACCCCCTCCCATGCTCCATCCCATCCCCCCCCCATGCTCCATCCCATGTCCCATCCCATGTCCCATCCCATGTCCCATTCCGTCCCATGCCACCTCCCATGCAACTCACCAGGTGCGTAGACCCATCAGAGGCCAAGGGCACGTGGGGCATTCAGCGCATGTTCTACCACTGGCCGCACATCTACTGCCTCAAACCCGAGCTCTTCCCCAGGTGTGTGTGAGACTGTCTTGCACGGATCGCACTGTGAGTGAAGCACGTGACTCGTAAATACGTGAAGGTTCAGAGGAGAAGCCAAAGAGATAGAGTGGGGTATTCAGCGCATGTTCTACCACTGGCCGCACATCTACTGCCTCAAACCCGAGCTCTTCCCCAGGTGTGATTATAGTGCAGAGACCACAGTACAGATGGGTGTGACTATGACGCTGGTGGGGCCATGAAGCACGTATGTTGTGAGGGATAGGTGGTGAGGCCAAGGGCACGTGGGGCATTCAGCGCATGTTCTACCACTGGCCACACATCTACTGACTCGAACCCGAGCTCTTCCCCAGGGTGTGGTGTGTGACCATGTTACATAGGAATGTGAATGAAGCACGTTGGTTGTAAAAGGGCTCCAGGAGAGGCTGATGAGAGAGGGTGGGGCGCTCGTCTAGTGAGGGTTGGGCCATATAGAATTCACTCTGAAGACTTGCACTTTCCATTCAGTCTCCTATTGTAAATCCCCCAACAACCAGGGCTGAGATGTGCTTGGATTACTAAGGTCACCGCAAGTACACCATCAACCCTTAGCAATGTGCACACCCATACTCGCCCTTCTTCACCCCTCTGAACTCCCCACACTCCATTTCAACCAGATCTGAGATGTGCCTGGATTACTACGGGCATCGCAAGTATGCGATCAACCTCGAATACGTCTTACGATTCGACTCCTAACACCCATGCTCGCCCTTCCCCATCCCTCTGTATCCACTGCACTGCTCGTCCATCAGGTCTGAGATGTGTTTGGATTATTACGGGCACCGCAAATACGCCATCAACCCGCGGAAGGTCACAGCGCTGCAGATCCACCGCCCAGTGCTTAACGACTCATACGGATTTGATCTCGACACCACTGTAGCAAAACTCAACCATTTTCAGGGCTATGTGCAGCGGGCGAAAATAAACGTGACTATAGAGAGTGGGGATAGTAACGAGACGGCTAGTGTAGTGCAAGAACAGCAGCCTCCTGCGTTTTGCTCGCAGATTATTCGCATTGAGGAGCCGATTATTTGGTGGGCGAGGGGGCAAGAGATAGGGGAGATTGCCGCTGAGGCTCAGAAGAATCCCCGGGTACCGTTGGATCGTATTGAGAGAGCAGAGATGGAAAGCGGGATGGCTAGAGCAGAGATGGGAGATACAGAATCATGAAATTTAATGTTCACTGAGGCCGAGGTTTCTACTCTGCCTGGTTAAACCATGGTCAGGTGCATGCAAGATTTCTGTATCCAGACCAGATCTAAAAGCAGTCGACGTCTGGCTGCAACTGCGGGCCTGACACACAAACAATATGGCACATGACTACCGGTATCTCTACAGCGGCATGCAAACATGATCAGATAGTTCACTGAGAGCAGCTGTAGGCAACTACCAGTGTGCAAGGGAAGGTACAAGCAGAAAATGATACAACTAGGCATAGAGGTTGCTCAGTAAGCAGCCCTCCATGTACTAAACATGTCCCTCCCATGCATATCACTACCGAAATACCTCACGGGCACTACCTGCTTTTATTAGATCAATGGCAACCTATGATACGGTCCTAGCTTTATCTACCTCGCTCTCTACACCTTGTTACACAATAGCACGTCACGGCTTACTGCGTTACGTCCTGACTCACAACTTCCTGCCTTACAAGCACATCACACCCTGGTGCCAGACGGGATCAATATTTTGTTCACGCCATGCGCGACAAAATACGGCCCAGTATAAATCCTTGGAGTCAGAATCGTAGTCCATGCAGCTGCTGGTGCAGTTCTCGCCTTCCCAAAAGACACTCTTGCTCCGTTTAACGGATTCATCTTGTAAAGAGCCTGCTTCAATTGAGTACCCACGGCCTGCCCTGGCTTCAGCGCTTTGAACTGCGGCAGAAAGCGTTTTATGCGTAAGATGTGGAAGGCGGTGATGTTGTAGATTTTAGGGATGTTGGCCGCCTTAAAGGGGAGCTTCTTAAGGAGGGCTTCCGCCTCGGTGTTAGTGGGGATGAGGATGGTCGCGTTGGCGAGCGCTGATAGGTCATACTTGGAATTTACTGGGAAATGATTAGGGGGGATGGGGGGATGGGGTTGGTGTAGGGGGGAAGGGAGATTGGGGTGGGTGCTGACTATGGTGTGATGGGAAGTAAAGCAACAAGGGGAGACAAAGCGCTACTCTTTCAATACAAGAAAGATCACGATACTCGCACTCGAGGCCGATCTCTCTCCTGAATCCGAGAACCGCCGCGTTTCCACGTTTTTAGTGCAACGATAAACTGTAACTACACTAGGCCGATATGTTTCTTGATGGTGCTCATGTAAGTGTCGTGGGTATGTCTAGGGCGCATCCGATACTTCGTGACGCGTTACTCTGTTAGTACACCGACAGAACCAAAGCCACTTACACGCGAGACCAATATATTTTTTGACCGTCTTTGTGTAACTCGAGTACTGCGGGTATTTCTTCGCCACGCTGTCCGCCAGCTTCCCCAGCTCCGCCTTCAGCTGCGCCTTTGTCGGACGCGCAACTGCCGCCTCCGCAACACGCGGCGCGAAGGGCGCTAGACAGAGGAGAGCTGCGAGAGCCGCGGCGATCAAAACCCGTCTTTCCATGATTGCGAAGCGGAGTTAATCGTGTAGACAGTGCGGAACACCTTGTTCTTTCCCCTCCAGCTGCGAACTATGACTGCTGCTTACAGCGAGTGATGGATTCAACCGTGAGAGCAATCAGCAAGTATCGAAAAATCAGGACGGAGTGAAGTGCATTTTGTTTCCGAAGGTCCGAACGGAGTATTGGTTGAAAACTCGTTCCGACTACGGATGACCTCTACAGGCTGTCTCGTTTACAATGGAAAGCAAGATCAATATTCAGCGCGCCGCACTGCCATTGCTCTGCGCTGCGCCCAAGATTCACCAGCGGCGATTAGTAGCGAGAATTTCGTCGCCCCCAGCGCCGAGCAACACCAGCAGTGAGCGGCGCTCGCGTTGCGTCGCACGAGGGAGAACTCCCTGGTTCGAGTCGCCATTCTACAGCACGACGCTACAGGCAGCCAGCAAGGGTCGGGCGGACAGCGTTGCAGAACATCAGTCGAGAGTTCGACCTGGTCTTGTTCTTCTTTGTGAAGCTGGGGAGCTAGTGCTGGGGAGGCATGGCATGAATGGGATAGGGTGTCTTGCCATTCGAAATGGGATGCATTCAGCTGGTCGGTCAGCCGAGCAGTTTCTGCTCCGGCCGACATGGCAGCAGAAGGGGGAGCATTGACGGTGGGCCTGTTTTCGGTCAATCGATAAACAAGTATACTCAAAATAGGCACCCCAAAGCTAGGGCCTGCACCACGTTACAGAAGGGGATGATCCAGAATCCAGAAGGGAATGATCCAGAATACTCAAATAAACGCTGGGCTTCGGGCATTTTCGACAAGCTGCCCGCCGACAAATGTGCGGTGCCCGACGAAGTGCTGGTTTGGCCGAACAACGTGGCGATATTCACGACGACGAAGTTACAAAGTCGTGGACGTCTTCTGTGATGATGGAGGCGATGGAGGATGTGTTCAACGAGACTCGATTCACCTAAAAAGTTGGGGAAATTTTTGTGTCAATGGTAACTACATGGGGAACTATAACGCGTTTGGTAACTCGCTTAACATGTCTGGTAACTCGCTTAACACGTATGGTAACTTAACACAGGCGAGTGATCACGCGAATTGTAACTACATGAAACTCCCGCCGAAATGATCCTGAAAAAGAGGAATTTATGGAGTTTGAAAGCTTTTACGCACAGTTCTATCTTTCTTTAGCAAGTCCCGCCGCGACTTTGAAGGACCCCGTTTGTTCTATTACCACGGACCGAAAAGTCTCAAAGTTTATATATATACATCGTACAAAAACGGTTCAAAACATATTTTTGATAGCATAATTACGAACTTGCAGAATGATTCAAAAACAACACATTCCGCAAAAGGACCTTGGGGCTTTTACTTTTGGTAATCACTGAAACGCTGTTCTTTTAGTTTTTTTTGCATGTGTAAAATATACACATATTTATAATTACATGTTTCATTTTTTGAAAAAGAACCATAAACGCCTTGTCGATAGGAGTTTAGGGTTGATGCTCCCAAATTCATTTGCCATCTGAAAGTGGTATAGATTTGTTTGCCCCGGCTGAACGATAGAATCAAGTACAAACAGATTGCGTAAAGAGCGCTAAAATTGTCAGAACATATATGTAGCCTATACTATTGTGTAGGCTGTAGTGGGGTATCCCATAGGGGGTACAACTAGTTAGGGTTTCCTATTTGTACTCACTTCATTCATAGTTCATTCATTCTCGTTCTATTCTCAACATGGTATCGAGCAGGTTCCCCCGTGGGAACTGTGCTTAGGGCCCACCACCTTTAAACCCTTTTTTTCTGCCCGGAGCGCGCTCCGGGCCCTCGCTTTCAGTTTTTTTTCGGCCTGCCCTGCGGCCCCTAGCCACCCGCGCGCGCCCGTTCAGGCCCCTAGCCGCCCACGCGCCGCCCGTCCCGGCCCCTAGCCGCCCACGCGCCGCCCGTTCAGGCCCCTAGCCGCCCGCGCGCGCCTGTTCAGGCCCCTAGCCGCCCGCGCGCCGCCTGTCCCGGCCCCTAGCCGCCCGCGCGCCGCCTGTCCCGGCCCCTAGCCGCCCGCTGGCCGCCCGTCCCGGCCTCTCGACGCCCGCGCGCCGCCCGTCCCGGCCCCTGATCGCCCGCGCGCCGCCTGTCCCGGCCCCTAGCCGCCCGCTGGCCGCCCGTCCCGGCCCCTTGACGCCCGCGCGCCGCCCGTCCCGGCCCCTAGCCGCCTGCTGGCCGCCCGTCCCGGCCCCTAGCCGCCCGCTGGCCGCCCGTCCCGGCCCCCTCGACGCTAGCGCGCCGCCGTCCCGGCCCCTAGCCGCCCGCTGGCTGCCCGTCCCGGCCCCTCGACGCCCGCGCGCCGCCGCCCCGGCCCCTAGCCGCCCGCTGGCCGCCCGTCCCGGCCTCTCGACGCCCGCGCGCCGCCTGTCCCGGCCCCTGATCGCCCGCGCGCCGCCCGTCCCAGCCCCGGGCCGCCCTGTGTCGCTGACAGCCCGAGCCGCCCGAGCCGCCCTCGCCGCCCTCGCCGCCCTCGCCGCCCGAGCCGCCCGAGCAGCCTGCACCGCCTGAGGAGCCGAGCCGCTGGTCCTCCGTAGCTGCTGTTGCTGCTGAGCCGGTTGAGCTGCTGTGTTGCTGTACTGCTGTGCTACTGCGCTGCCCGACCCGTCCTGTCTGGTGAGACCTTCTACTGCTGTCATGGCTACCCCTAGTGTCCTAGCTTTTGACGCTAAGGGTCGCGCCATTGACTTTGAGGTCTGGGTCGACGACCTGCAGCTGTTCTTACAGTGCGACAGAGCAGACGGCCTTTCTCTCTGTCCCACCACCCTCACCGTCGACATCCTCGAGAAGGCCCTCCTCGCGGCGAAGAAGAGCATCGTCGCTGTAGGAGCTTCTCGTGGTGACCCTCGCACCCCCATCTTTGAGGGGTGCTCTCCTTCCCCCCTCCTGCCCTCTGTTGCCTCTGCTGCTGCTGCCGACCTGCTTGGTCTCGAGTCGGTTGGCGCGGCGTCTGCCCCTAGTGGGAGACGCCGCTCTGGCAAGGGCAAGGGGGGCAAGGGCGCGGGTGGAGCTGGAGGGGGCGGTGGAGGTGGCGGTGGAGGCGGCGGAGGGAGTGGGGGTGGCGGCGGGAGTGGTGGAGGGGGTGGTGGTGGTAGTGGTGGCAGCGGCGGAGGAGGCGGCATTGGTGGCGGCAGCGGTGGTGGTGGCGGCAGTGGTGGCGGTGACGGCGAGGGAGGCAGCGGCGGAGGAGGCGGTGGTGGCGGAGGAGGTGGAGCTGGTCGGGGCGGTACCCAGCAGCGGAGCGGCGGTGGTGGTGGTCAGCGCTCGCAGCAGCAGCAGCGTTCGCGCGACATCCCTCCGCCCCAGCAGCTCCGTGAGTGGTACACTCGACGTCAGAGGGGTGGGGGTACTGGTCCTTGTACCTACGTCCTTCGCTCTGGCGACCGCGCGGGTGAGCAGTGTGGGGGTGCCCACCCCACCCAGCGCTGCTTTGGCCGCCTGACGGACGCTTGGCGTCAGCAGTTCCCCGGGGCTAGTGAGATCCCTCGCTGGGATGAGCTTCTTAGGGCTGGTGTAGCGATCTTTGATCTTGATTTTGAAGCTATCCTTGCTGCTATGTATGCTGTGTCTATTAGTGAGGAGGGTGACTGTTACCGGTGTTTCCCGCCCGACCCGGGCATTGGTACTGCTGCGCTAGGTGCTTGTGAGGCTACTGCTCTAGGTGCCAGTGAGTCTGCGCTCTCAGGTGCAGGTGAGACTGCGCTCTCAGGTACTGCGTCGCCTTCGTCCTCCCTCACTTTCACACTTGACTCCGGGGCTTCTCGCTCCTTGTTTCGAGACCGCACCACCCTCACGCCGCTTGGCCGGCCGGTTGCGGGCTCCCTGGCTGACCCCTCTGGGGGTCCTGTCCTGTCTCACTTCTCCACTATCCTCCCGTGTCCGGCTGCCCCCTCGGGCACCCTGTCTGGTCTGTACCTTCCCTCGTTCTCGACGAACTTGGTGAGTGGTGCGGACCTACAGGATGCGGGGGTTCACCAGTTCACTCCTGCGAGTCAACGGGTGACCCACTGCACGGACGCACGCACACGCCGGCACCTAGCCACGTTCTCGCGTCGGCCGGGGTCGAGCCTCTACACCCTGACCGTTGAGTCTCCTCCTGTCCCTGCGTCTGGTCAGGTAGCTGCGTCAGGTCAGGTGTTTGCTGCTGCGTCCCGGTCAGGTCCTGAGTCTGCCCCCTGCTCGTGTCGCCTCCTGTCTCACGAGACTCTCCTGTGGCACCACCGTCTGGGCCACCCCTCCTTGCCGAGTCTTCGCAGCATGGCTTCCCGTGTCCTTGTCTCTGGTCTTCCCCAGTCCCTCCCTCCCCTTCCTTCCGCGCCAGGACCTTCCTGTGTCCCCTGTGTTGAGGGGCGCCTCCGGGCTGCTCCTCACTCCTCCCAGTTCCCCCCGACAGAGGCTCCTCTGTAGACGATTCACATGGACGTGTGGGGCCCAGCCCCCGTCCGTGGGCAGGGTCACGAGCGCTACTTCCTGTTGGTTGTTGACGACTACTCGCGTTACACCACAGTCCTCCCCTTGCGCAGCAAGGGTGCTGTCACTGAGGTGCTAATCGACTGGATCCGCGAGGCTCGTCTCCAGCTCAGGAGGAGCTTCGGCTCGGACTTTCCTGTTCTGCGTCTGCACTCGGACAGAGGCGGGGAGTTCTCCTCTCGCCTTCTGCGAGACTACTGCCGTGCACGGGGGATCCGCCAGACCTTCACGCTTCCGGACTCTCCACAGCAAAATGGGATTGCTGAGCGCCGCATTGGCATGGTCATGGATGTCGCTCGTACGTCCATGATGCATGCGGCTGCCCCCCATTTTCTGTGGCCGTTTGCGGTGAGGTACGCGGCGCATCAGCTCAAACTTCACCCCAGGGTCTCTCGGCCCGCGATGTCCCCAGTGTTACTGTGGACGGGGAAGGTCGGCGATGCGTCTGCGTTCCGTGTCTGGGGATCTCGGGCGTTTGTCCGCGACTTGTCTGCGGAC